TGCGCTCAATGATGTAATATCTTGTGAAACGGGAGGAAAACGATGAAAATGTGACAATTTACGACGACTAAGATCTATCTCAAACTCCTGATTTTTAAGAAATGAGGCAGGTTAGGTGCCCCAATTGTTTTTTTTCCATGTGTAGGTATATCCCTTCAAAAAACGAGAAGAGCGTCGGGTGCAGACCATACACCACAAGTGACGACGGCCTCCACAAAATGTAAATGTTTTCTGCCAATGAAATGATTAGCCTGTTGCAGTTGTATTCTATCAGTTGTCACTAATTACAACTATCATTTACCAAAAATCAGCTATTACTATGCTACTACCCTCTCGTTTTCTGAAAGGGAGGGTATCTACTCTTCTCACCATCAGTCCTTGAATTTTTCCTACGACATATTTCAAAATGTATTTATAGGACTGATTTGGTGTTGTGATTATGAATATGATATTGGTTTTTGGATTTGACGCGGTCTGACGCATGTTTTCTGCTTTCCTGGGCTCTCTCACCTGGGTACAGTAAGCTAGGGTAAGATTGCTGGGAGGGGGACAGCGTTGGGCAAATTGCGCATCGTCACGTGGAGCCCTCGATTCTCCAAAAGCTTAGTTCTGATTGCAAACTAGTCAGTGGGAGAGCGCAGACGAGCAGAAAATAGGCGCCAAATGGTGCCAACGCCGAAACTAACAAGGAGGTCTTTCAGGGCAAGCCACGCTTTTTCAAAACGGTTTCTTGCATATTGTAGGGACGCATGTAGGGAACACAAAACCATGTTTCATTTTCGCTGAACGGTTTTAGCAGTACCAAAAAAGAAGCATAAGGTACTGTTAATGGTTCGATCCCCGTGGCGACTAAATTTTGCATTTGGGTTGGCGCCTACGGGTTGGTGCCAAATCGCGCTAAATGTCAAAATCAGATGTCATATTCATCGTCAGGACCATTTTGAAGCCAACAAGTGGCCGCCAACCTTGATTGCAAAATTTAGTCGCCATGGGATATCGAACCATCAAAGGTGTCATTCACCACTTTTTTAGGCACTATTCAACTATTACAACCCCAAAATCTCAAAATTTTATTTTTCGTCGAAACTTCGCCTATGGGGTAATTCGATGCCCTGATTACGAAAATGACATTCATTTTTGCGCTGGCGCCATTTGGCGCCAGGGCTGTTTTCACCAAATTCGCTGTAAACTTGCATATAGGGGTTATTTGGGGTCCTGATCACGAATATAACATTCATTTTTCCCGCTAGCGCCTGTGGCGCCTGTTTTCCGCTCGTCTGCGCCCTCTCACTGATCACCTCGCGATCGGGACTAAGCCTTTGAGGAGGAGAGTGCTCCGAAGGTGAATAACACTTATCCTGTGATCTTATACGCTTTAACATTTGCCACATGTTGACTGGTTCACCCACCCCTGGAGTCCTCCCTCTCCTTCTAGGCTTACAACCCAGGTATTATGAAGAAGTGAGAGGGCCCAGGAAAATGGAACGGTGGAAATGCGAAAAAGAATGACATATCCGTAATCAGGACCCAAAATAACCCCTGTATACAAGTTTACAGCGGAATTCGCGGCTGATACACAATCGCCTGGCTTAACCTAGCGCATTAGCGCCAGCATGGCGAAGCGCCGAAAATTGAGTCCATTTTTCGTAATCAGGGGCATCGAATAACCTTGATGGAGCGAAGTTTTTTTCTCGAAGAGGACACCAAATAGCCCTTATACAATACCGCGATTTGGGTGTAGTTACAGCCGTCGTGACAATGTGGCGCATATCTGGGCGCCGAACGGCTGGCGCAGCGTCCAATATGAATTTCATACGATCATATTCGTGGTAATCAGTCTTCGATTCAACGTCCTAAGACTCAAAGTTTCGCGAATAAAACTTTGGGCCAGTAATGAATGGAGTAGTAACCTTTCAATCATTATTCTTGCCTGTGTTACAATTGATGACGAAAAAAGTTCAATGAAGTTTGAAGCGCAAAAACGCACTTGATCCAGCATGTCTACCTGTACACATACCAATTTCTAATTGAACGAGGCTGTGCAACTAGCTTTACACGAATTCAAGTATTATGAAAAGCGAACGAACAAGACGATGAACTTCACGTAATGTCAAAAGGTGAGGAGTACATACTAGATAGCTGTCGCGCCGCTTTAAGGGTGCTTTCATGGTCTGCGGTCCGTGCCGTCCGCGCCTCAGCGCCGCACCCGCCGCGCGGACGGCTCGGACAGGGTGAAAAACGTCAACACGCGCTCCGGCGCATAATGCGCACTTGGCGCGCAGTCGGCGCCTCCCTCGATCGATAATGCTGATTTCGACACATTTTTTCTGTATTTTGACGTTTTGTGCGCCGTTTTGCTTTTTCTTGCGGTTACTTAGCCCAAAACTTTTCCTTTTTTGTATGGATTACTGCTTTTGCTCACTAATGAACCCACTTGGTGTTTATTGCTACTTTAAACACAGTGTATGAAACTAACCATCTAGGACAAACGTTGAGAAACAGTTGAAACAGTTGAAAAGCAGTGATTCACACAAAAAGGAAAAGGTTCTCGCGAAAAAATACGAGAAGCAACACGGCACAAGGAGCACCAGGAAAACACAAATAGAATGTGATGAAATCGCATTTATAAACTGGAAGGCGTCGACCGGCTTTTGCTTGGTCTGGCTTTTGCTTTTTTTTTTTTTTGGCGAGAACATTATTTTCTTTTTCATGTGAACTGCTTTTCAACTGTTCTAGAATGGATTAGGTTCATACACTGTGTTTGAAAGTGGCAATAAGCACCAAGTGGGTTCATTAGTGAGCAAAAGCAGTAATCCATACAAAAAGGAAAAGTTTTGGGCTAAGCAAAAAAAAAAAACAAAAAAAAAAAAAAAAAAAAAAAAAAAAAAAAAAAAAAAAAAAAAAAAAAAAAAAAAAAAAAAAAAAAAAAAAAAGGAAAAAAAAAAAAACCAGCACAAACAAAGACCAAAATTTCGAAATCAGCATTATCGATCGAGGGAGGCGCCGACTGCGCGCCAAGTGCGCATTGTGCGCCGGAGCGCGTGTTGACGTTTTTCACCCTGTCCGAGCCGTCCGCACGGGCGGCGCGGACGGCGCGGACGGCACGGACCGCAGACTATGAAAGCAGCCTAACGCTTGACTTTGACTCGTCGATTAGCCATGGGAGCGCGAACCCGCGTCAGGGACGGTAGTAAAGTGGCCTCAACTGCTAGTTACCATGTGACCATGAGCTCGTGGTAACTTGGTCATGGCTTCCATCCATGTCTCCCTAAAAGATGCGTAGAGCACCTCTGGAACCCCTCCGAAGATTCCCCGTCGGAATGGTCGAAGTGAGTTCGAACTTACTTGGAAGTGGGGGTGATGACATCACGTGCTAGTAAGAGGATTAGCAGGGTGGTCATCTATAAACTAACATCGATTGCGGCAGAGAAAAAGGAAATAGTGCGCGCGCGGTGGAGGGCTGCCACTTCGTCTCTAAAAAGTCCTCCGGAGGACTTTTTAGAGATGGCGATCTCCAAACAGCCAGGCTGTGTGGGTCAAAGCAGTGTGTTGAAAAGGGGAAGGGAAGCACCTTCCATTGTTTTGTCAATGGTGTAGCGCCTGCGGTCTACGTTGGTGTTGGATTGGTCACGGGATCAATACTACGACATGTTTAATTCTTTGCAACTTTTGTGGGTATTATTGCCTTTTCTCTAAACTCTTTCACCGTCGATAAGAAGGGCTCCATAGTGCAGTGGTAGCGATGCCGCTCATGGGACGATGCACCGAAGGTTCAAACCCGTGTGTGACGCGACTTTTGCAAGCAACGTGGTGGATGCTCACCACTTCGCCTATGGCAAATTGCCATTGGCTCAATGGGGACGTTCCACGCTGCCGCTGTTAAAGCTGCTGGATTAGCACCGCTTGGAGTCTAATATTTGCAAACAACAGCCATTGCATTGCACAACATACATTTCATCAACATCTCTTCCAGTGGTGTGGTCGAGTGATCCCTGGTGCAGTGGCAAAAAACCAGCCTATGAGCCCTACCATCCAGGGCTCAATTCCGAGAGGGTTGCAAGTTTTGCAGGTCGGGTGGCGAGGCTCGCGGTTTCAACGAGGGTCATGTCCATGTTTCCACGTTCTCTATTCCTCGCCAATGGGTGTAAATCACCACATTTGACTGCCAGTCTAGGGCACTTTACTACCGTCCCTGATCTTGCGTAGCTGCCCTTTGGTGTAACCCAACCGTTCCCTCGAACTCTTTCGCCGGGACATGAGCAGAACTGTAAAATGGCAAGTCCTTCCTTTCTTTCTTACAAAAACTTATGAAGTGTTGTTTATGTGCGATTTTCGCCGCTCTCAGCAGCAGTCAAGGCCTTCTTCCGGCACGCCTTCGGACTGCCCTGAGTTCCATGGGGAATGGTGGTAGAACGCATGGACTTGTTTCGGCTGGTAAACGCCCTTATTAGTCATCGACCCCTCTTGCTCATGTTAGGCCATGCAATAAAAAACACTAGAGCAATTAAGCCAAAGTTTCACAGTCTGGGAAACTCTTAAAGATACATTTTCGTAATGATTTTTTTTGCATACATTTTTCACCAGACTAGGCTTGCACTGGGCTCTCTTCAATATCTATCCAGGGTAACTCGCTGTAATTGTGTGTTAGATTTTTATAGGATAGAGTACCCAAATCCCACTATGCAAAACTCGACTTTAAACGGGTCCCCTCCGCTCCATAAGTTTGCAGAATTATGATAGTGCCTGTTTGATGGTACATAAATAAGTACATGCATGTGCCAACAGTAGTCAAGGGTTGGAAGACCAGTCTCCCTCAGTGGTAAATTTTAGCTACTGCTATTTCACCACCGAATCCTAAACCTGATAAGGGATTCAACTTTCTTCTCAAGCTACTATTTGACTGCTCGCAGTTTGAGGTAAGTGAACGGTGGTTCGACACTACTATCACATGCTTTAAATGGTGAAATGATGATATAAATCATAAAATGCAAAAAGCGATCGAGTTATCTAGTTTTCCAGATTGATGCTGAATCGCGAGACATGCTTCGAAGCTTGGGATTTTCTACAAATTCTCATAATAAGCGTCAATTCCTTCAAAAATTATAGACCCCTGTCATTGTTCTATGCGTTTTTGGACGTAATGTTAAAGCTTCCTATCAGCTCTACGAATGGAATTGGTCTGTTCCTACCTTCTTGACGGGTTGACGACATTGCGCGTTTTGACGTTCTTATGCACGTGGAAAGGGCGCGATTCTGCGAGCGCCGGCGCTTCACGATCCATAGTGTTGAAGAGATAACTTTGCAAAACGTGAATAGTGGGTAACCTTTTCAGTGATGTTCGTTTCGTAGAACTTGCTTCGGGGCATGGTTATGCAAGATCAAAAGAACGAGTAATTCAGAGGATAACAAGAAGCATCCATGTCTAACGGGGAGGCTTCCGACTTCCCATGGGTACTTTGGGTAGGGAACTAGGTAAGTCGGGGGGTCAAGAATACTAGTCAAAAATGATGCGACCAAAACTGCTACGTGCGCTTTGCGAACAAGTGATGAGCGTTCAAAGTTGACAAGGAATGTAGCATGAAAAGTAAATTGTGGTGCGACATAGGTGCCATGTGGCTCCTTTGTCGAAAATGTCGTATTTCTGAACAGGCCACATTTCTACTGCTGCGTGAAAATTCAGAGAAAATTAAGAACTCTGCTGCGGATAGATAAGTTTGCCTCGTATACGAACACCACATTTCCTGCCGAGTATGATCACTCACAGCTTGTTAAGAAAACTCGCGTGGCAGTTTTGGTTTCCATATTTGTAACCAACACTCTCGAGTGCATCGATATACCTAGGTCGCCATTCAAAGTTCTGTTACGGTCGTTCAGTGGTAGAGATTTATTGAGACTTCGAAACTATGATACATTGCTTGACTTATATACGGTGACAGTCTTACCAGATGTTACAGTACTAACAGATGTCTACGCAAAAAGGAACACCAGATGCTACAGTAAGAAGTAGTGACTAATCCTACAGATTCTAAGCTACAGAGGAAGCTGAATATTACTGTTAAATGAGAAAGTCGTGGTTTACCACGACACTCCGCCGCGCGGAGTCACAAAGCATCATTTAGAGTGGATACGACAATAGCAACAAATAAATGCATCTACATTCTACCAAAAATATGCATCGGATAAAATTGACCAAATAAATGGATCAAAATCAATCTGCCAAAACGATGTTCCAAATTGCGAAAAGCCATACATCATTGATTCCTTTGAGAGGTGCCGTTGGTCCAACGTATAATCGCCATGCAAACCACTGATTGATCGCAACATTCGAAAACGGATGGGCGACCCACAAGCACGAAGCGAACGATGTGATGACAGCAGCTCAGTAATGGCAGCAGCATGGAATGAACAGCCGTTGAACCGCAAACAGAAGTCGGACGAACGAGGTGTTGGCACGAATAGCGCAGGAATCAGTCGAAAGTGGATGAGACGAATGGTCGTAGAAGTCGAGCAGATAGACGATGAGTCGAAGCCATGTAGCAGTATCTCAGTGAATATCTGGCGAACAGATGGGTGAGGGGAAATGTGGACGGATACGACAGAAGGGGGTAGGGTAAGGGATGAAGAAGGGACTGAGGGTCGCACCGATCGCTTGCGCGAACGTGCAACCTCCAGGCCAGGGAAGATTTACATCTTCCTTCTTTTGAATGAACTCGAAGCAGTCGAGTATTTGTGAGGGCATAGCAGCACATTGTGGTCTTGACCACAATACGAGCAGACGATGCCACAGTTGTTGGCGTGGCGGGGTTGGAGGCATCTGTTGCAAAGCCGTAAATTCGCAGCTTGGACCGCACGAGATACTGCATCTCGGAAGCGACAGCAGCGTCCAGTAGGGTGCGAGTCATTGTTTTCTTCAACAGAACAGAATACGCAGTTCGATTTGGGAGCCGTTCTTTCGAGAACCACGTCGATTCTGCGGATCAGAGTGTCGAATTGACGGTTGAGAATGTCGGTAAGAGCTTCCAGTTTGCCGTCCAGTGAGGTGAAGAATAAGGCGAGTTGCTCTTTGAGATCTCTGACGGCTTCTTTGAGAGGGTCGATGTGGATTGCTACGTCGACTTCGTCCATTGGAGCGGAGGGCAAATGAGAGGGTATGGCAATGGTGAATCATGGCATGGGAGCCATGCCTGGGTTTTCTACAGTGTTTTTCATGTGTCTGCGCTAATGCTATCTTGTCTGTGAGGATTGCTACGGTCCAGAACTAGCATAGTGAATAGAAGTTGTGAACTAAACCTTTACTATTTCCAGCTAGGACTATAAGACATCTTACTTTTGACATGCTTTCTTGATGAGCTCGCAAGCTGCAAGGAGAAGCGATGCTGCTAACTTGGCAAAGAGTTCTACGCATGCGAACACTAGTTGGATTACGTAGAGAATGACAACTGGTCCAAGGAAGTATGTTGCTACACCGAGAAGCGCGGTTGTGCCAAATATGGCGAGAGCAGCTTTCCAGTGAGCAGATACGGTCATTATGAGTGGTTTCAAGTCAGGAATGCTGAGTCACGAAACCAGCTTGATGACGCGATCCAAGGTCTCTCATGTGAGTTCAGGATTTCAGATTCATTCAGATGAGGCACATAAGCCAGAATACCGTGCAGCTGTAATCTGGTGTGATTCTCATTGCACTCAATGCGGCATTCCTGGGCAACGATCGCGTGATGGAAGTCAAGAATGACTTGTGTCGATTTGTTAGAAGAATCACATTCGACTGAAAAGGAATGATCGTCGCAGAGAACGATTATCCATGCCGGTATTTTGTGACGCATGAGATATTCAACACGGCCCCTTCCAGGCAGCTATAACACCCTGTGAGTGAACCTAGGGAAACTTCGCATGCCTGACGCACTACGTATTCGGCACTTCCCTTCATGAACTTGGACTCGATGGAGATTGTCATTTCTTCCCTCGTGGAGTGCGCGATGATCGATTCGTTTTGCCAGTGATTCTCACGAATGGAGTCGAAATCGGAAGCACGTTTGATACGTCTTTTCTTATGTGTCCAATAGAGTCTGTTGGACAGTCACATTGGGTAGGTTCGTTCCTGACGTCACAGTCGCAAATCATTCGATTTTTGCACAGGTGGAAGTTGCTTGAGGCTTGTTCTCTTGTGGAACATTCCACCGGAAGTTTGTATCCCTCCGGCATAGCCAAGATCTCGCTGCTTGTGACCGCAAATTTGCTGTGCAAAATGGGGCTCGTAGGCTTAGCCAGAGATATCACGGTTATAGTGATGTCATCTACTTTTGCGGTATGTACGGTCTGAGAGCGAGGGTTCTGGAAACGTTTGTGTTGTACAATGAAATGTGCACTCTTAGTCGTACTATGGGTTTCCATTCCATGCATTCGACAACTTCGTATACGAACTTGGATCTAGGAACGTGCGCAACACGATAAAATGAACACGAAGGTAGGATCGTTGGGCAACCACAAAGGATGCTCCCGCACGATTCCTCACATCCGGAATATCCTGGATATCGAGATGCATTGGCCAACTCTGGAATGATTGTTGAGGGCCGAACTTTGGAGCATGTCTGTCCCACACATGATCCCATCAATGCACATCTTTTAGCACTGAAGACTGTGGTGTCTGTGTCTCTCGTAAACAGCAAGGTGCGTGGGGAACAGTGTAGTTCTACCGCAAGTCGTTGGAGAGAGATCTTGCCTATTGATTTATTTGCGTGCAAAATGTTGACGCACATCTGTGTGTTGATCTCGTTGAACAAGATTTCTCTGCTGAATTCCATATAACATTTGCCACTGGAATTGCAAGTGATCTCAGCGTATGTCTCATATGTCCGTGTTGGCAGGCATTGCTTGCCCGCAAAGCATGACTAATGCAAAAGTCACTGCGACGGTGATGCTAAGGCGCTGCGGGCTGAATGTTTTGAGGTCGATTTTTTCGTTAGCACAGCTGCGGCGGCGGTGCTCGTACGTCTTTGTGTCTCTGTCGCGGGGAATCGAACTTCTCGATGCTTGTCTGGCAAGTCAGCAGTGCTGCCGCTTGGCCACTTTCTTGACGTGCGTTTCTTCGCAGCTGTATGCTTTTCACAACGAGTAAGGGACGGAAACGAGTGCATATACAATGGACGCAACAGATATAAGTGCTCTTATCGGCCAGCAATGGGGATTGCCGAATAGGTGCTTCGAGAACATGTCCTTAGAGGCCTCACATATATGTGGAAGAGCACAATTGATATGATATTCTTTTAATGAGGCTTGTGCCGTGTATCTCATGCGAACGGATATATTATTATTTGAGGCTGTTGGTGGCAGTTGGAGAGAGAAGTCAGTCGGCATCGCTGAGAAGCGTTTGCAGGTTGTTCGCACGCAAATCTCAAACGTGCCGTTAGGCGGAAATACTTTAATCATTCCGTCCTCGCAAAAAAGTGGTGGAGAAGCGTCTGCAGGAGCGACTAGAAACGCAATCATGAGGATGGGCAAACATAGTGAAGTTTTGGCCAACTGTGGCGAGGTTTGGTTTGGATAATTTCCATTATTCAATGATCTTATCGCATCTTGAATTACCCTTCTTGCCCTAACTTTGGCTTTTCGTGGAGGTTGGTGCTCACGTGGGTTGGTTCCAGATGTTTGTTGCTCAGGGGAGTGACTGCGGTCTTCGGGTGGCTCCTGATGTTCTCCCTGGCTTACGGGTGGAATCTCCAAAGGATAGATCTTATTCAGTGGTCTGTGCCATACATGTCCATTAGGCATTAGAATCTTAACGGATCGCACTTGTTCGTCGGTGCTTCTCACAAGTTCGACTATTTTCCCGTAGCACCAGCTACCGCGTGGAATATTATCTTGTTCTATCAGGACGATTTCCCCGACTGTTGGTTCTCTTGATCGTGTATGTCGT